ACAGCTCTTAAAAAAAAAAAAAAAATCAATTGCCAGCCAAAGAGTTACTCAGAGAGCAAACAAGGGTATTGGCCAACTGAGTCCAGCCATTGGGAAAAAAAAAAATCCAAGGGCTTTTCTTCTTGACTCCAGAAAATATTATTTTTAACTTATTCTCTGAAAGAACAGACTGGTTCAGATCTTTTATATTTTTAGCTATTCCTGACACTCCTGGAAACAGAAAAATTTATTTTATTAATATTGATACATGGGATGAATGATCCTAGAAGCCTAACTTTTCCAGCAGCCCTGGAAATGAATTGGCACTACTATCCCGATTTTATTTCTATTGGGGTCCCTAAGCCCCTTTCTCTGAGGATTCTGCCTGATACCTTTCCTTTGGGGAGCAAATTCCAGCTCCTTCAGTCTTTTCCAGAGATAAAGGGAAAAGCCCATAGGTTGTTTAGCTGTTTAAGTGTAGGATTTAAAAGGACAGATATCTTTCCAATAGCTTTGAGTCACTGGGTTTGATAGCCATTGTAAATTTGAGAACGCACAAACTTAAATGGGTAAGGAAATGTTTTCATAGAAGTTTACATTTCCATATTGATTTTATTCTTCACTAGTTTCATATTTCACACACTATTTAGAATGACCATTTTTCCAATGGCACCAGTTTGCTCTTATAATTATAAAAACAGTGACTCCGCATGTACCTACCACAAACAATGTCATGCTTTGGAACCTAAAGTCCAATACAGCACAAATAAAAAGTTTTATTCCTTATTTGCAGATAGAGTGCAGTCAGAGCTTCACCATCTCTTAGATAGGGGGTGAAAAGTTGGCAGGCACACCAAGCGTTTTTCTATTTATTGTTTTATGACAAACTATGGCACTGAAAATAGTTTTTGAAAACCACTCTCTGTTTATTTTCATCAACAAACATGGGATCATGTGACAGTGATACACCCAGCGTGATCATCGCACCAGGGTAATAGTCAAACACCGGGCACTTCCAAAGTCCATTCAGTTATCAAACTGCCTTCACGTAACATAGCACCTAGTTCTGGCATGCACATGGTTTTCAGAGTGCAGAAAGATCTCTTAAAGAAGGGGCTGTGGCTGGAGCAAGCCACTGAAAGGGAAATAGGTAGTGGGGAGTCAGTTCCATCCCACTGAGGGTGGCTAAAAACGTCTATTGCTCCTAAAATTTCCTGTCCCGCAATCTGTACCTGATTATTCCATATCCCATCTTTTCCTGGCCCTGAGCCTAAAATTCCCAAGCAAACTCTCATTTAGGCAAAACAATGAAAAGTAGGGTACCATACGCCAAAGGCATGATGTTAAAGTTGGTAGAAGGGGAGCAAGAGCATTTAACGTATCCATTTTGAAAGGTGCAAGTGGCCCTAGGGAATAAGATACAGGAGAAGGAAGTTTAGTTGGGGAAAGGAAGAAGTCCTGGTCTGCCTGGAGGCAAATGCTGAGAGGGCAGCCAGCATTCTGCAATAGACAAAGGTGAAATGCAGCAGTAAGATACATTTAAAGAATGGCCTCTTCAATCAACTCATTTCCTTTTCCAAAGGTTCTGGGTAGCTTGTCGCCCACTATTCTGAGTAGCCTTCCCCAGCCTTGGCCTAACTAACACTAATGACATCAGTCTCAAGCAGGGTGTATAAGAAACTCAAATTGCTCTGCCGCACAGCCACAGCCACTTTTGTATACCTCCCACCCTCTCAAAAGTCCACATTTCTGCAAAACTTTTCCTATCAATGCAAATCTTAACTTTCATGAGTCCTGGCCAAGAGATAACATAACACCCCTGAGATAGATGCTATCAAATGAATAGCATGACCATGTAGATAGAGAACAAATCTCTAGTCTCATTGGAAATCACATTTTGGATTTTTTTTATCTCCCATATTTCTCTCTGAACTGTTTCTTTCCACTAGCGCTTAATTTGATTTTGCAAGATAAGGAGAAAAGAGGGTGCCAAACAACTGTAGTTCAGTTTTATGTCATCAGTGAATGGATTCTTTTAATTTGGCCCAGTCTCTCTTTTTCCAGATCCTAACTAGAGGCAATTCTGCCTGAATCCAGATCATCAATGATGTCCAGTTTGGTAAGCAAACATTGGGCTAGAGGCCCTCTGTTGAAAGTCCAGAATTTCAAAGGGCATAGGCAACCGTGTTTAATTCAATTAAGCAAATACAGTCTGAGTAACTATTTAGGGGCAAGAAACAGTCCTAGTTACTATAGGGAAGCAAATGACAAATGTTTGGCCTCTGAACTTGAAGAGCCCATAATCAAGTGTTTTGCAGCCCTTTCCTTTAAATAGCTTAATTCCTACTTATTCCATAAAGAACCTCCATGTATTTTATTTTTTAACTCAAAGATTTAGAGCCACGGGGTCAACTGGAGTGAGGTATCTTGAGTGTGTCCTCCATTAACACAGATAAGAGCAGGTTGGACACCAGTATTGTACTTTTAAGTTCTTGACCACTGAGACTTTTGTGTGTGTGTGTGTCTTTTGCCTGACTTTCTGGTACTATTAAGTTGATAGGATTTCTAATAAGGATTGCAGGTATGGATTGGAGGATGAAAAGAAGGTAAGAAAGCAGTTGATGAAAACTAACCATGGCTGGTGGCTTACACCTGTAATACCAGCTCTTTAGGAGGATTGCTTGAACCCAGGAGGCCAGGGCCAGCCTGGGCAATATAATAAGACATTCCAGCTTGGGAAACAGGGCAAGACCCCATTTCAAAAATAAATAAATAAATAAATAAAAATAAGAAAAAAAAACCTAACCAAAACTGCAAATACTTTGCTTTAGCAATCTTTCCTTTTCAGCAATCCTTTTTATTTTTTCTTCCTGGGCATGAGTGGCTTATTTTCTGTAGTCCAATCAGCTACACAGAGGTCTTCATTTATTTTTGATTTGCTATGGCCAAGTTTCTCACTGAACGAATGAACTTTATGATCATCAGTGTAATGTAGTCCTGTGCATGTGAAAGCCAGTAGTCCTAGTCAAGGACTTTTGTAATTTGAAAAGAATCAAAACAGCACAAAAATTTTCCAACTGTGAAAATGCTGGGATAGCAGATGAGGTGAAGAATTGCTACTGCTCTAAAAATTGAGGAAAAAATATCATACTCAGAAAGTTTTCTCAGGGCGAAGTTTTCTCATGGCCAGCAAGTTGGAATGACTAGTCTCCTCAAGTACTGTGGTGCTGAAGGGCTAGCATGCTACGAATGCTCTGAACTAGAGGTCAGAAAACCTGCATTAGAGTCCCAGGTCTTCCACACACTTGCTGTGAGATCTTAGGGCAAAATGTTTAACCTCTCTGGACTTTATTTTCCTTATCTCTAAAATAAAGAGGACAATAATAGCAGTGGTCAGGTGGCCATATGGCTCGAATCTAATAAATGTGCAAGGTTTTTTTTATACTCTAAACAATTGGATCTAGGTATATTATTATTGAAATATCAAAGACTCCTTTGCAAATCAGAAAACTCATTGTCCTTATCAGCATATACGCCACAAGTTTTCTTTTTCTATTAACTGATTCTACTCCCACTAAACGGTATAGCTAAACAGAAGAACTACCATCTTGAGATAGTCATCAAAATGCATGAAATGGTAATGAGATTTTCCCAACAATATATCTTAATGGGGAAAAGTTAAATATATCTATCAAGTAATTGCATAGTTCTCTGGGAAGTGTTCATGTGAAAATAAATGACTGCATACAAGGGCTTTCCATGGCTAGGACAGTGTCTTCTGAATGTGTTCTGCAGTTCTTACTGCCCTAGGAGCATTGTGCAGACATCAGAATCAAAACCAGTCCCTGCCGTTAAAAACTGAGGTACAGGCCAGGAATGGTGGCTCATGCCTGTAATCCCAGCATTTTGGGAGGCTGAGGGGGGCAGATCACGAAGTCAGGAGATCAAGACCGTCTTGGCTAATACGGTGAAACCCCATCTCTATTAAAAATACAAAATAATTAGCTGGGTGTGGTGGCGCGCGCCTGTAGTCCCAGCTATTTGGGAGGCTGAGGGCAGGAGAATCGTTTGAACCTGGGAGGTGGAAGTTGCAGTAAGCCAAGATCGCACCACTGCACTCCAGCCTGGGTGACAGAGGGAGACTCCATCTCAAACAAACAAACAAACAAACAAACAAACAAACAAACAAAACTGAGGTACACAGACATGATCCAGGCCATGGTCCAAGCTGATGGCAGAGTTGGGACTAGAATTCACGTACAATTTTGTTCTAACATAATTTCATGTTGTTTTCTCAGTTTCCAGTCAGGAAAGGGCTCTGCTGTTTGGAAAACATAACTCAGTAACAATTACAACTCATCCTGGGTTTTCTAAATGGTGCTGCTCAATGAGTGAACAGATGTTGGAGAGTCCACTGAAGGGGCCCAGGCAGCTCAGAGCCTTGCAGAAGATAAAATTCACATATGTAATGAAAGGATAGAGCTTCCAGTTGCCCCAGAATAATCAATAGAATGCTATAGAAAAGAAAGGTAACATAATATCTAGAATCTATTTTTATGCCCCATGTTGAACTTCGTAAGAGGTAACTCTGGTAGTTCTCCTGAAAGGTGAAATAGTGGGATTGAATATCTTTTCTAAACCTAGGTCAGGCTTTTCCCAGAGAATGAATATTGCTGTGGCCAGTTATTTTGATACTGAGAAAAGAGATGGATCTGAAAAGAGGGTGACAGGCTGAGGGGGCTTAAGTTCATTCATTAAAGTTAGGATGACCAATACATTCTTACACTATTCTCCAAGACTTTATTAGAACTCAGAGGACTTTTCTCCCTCTTCAAAATAATGTTTACTTATGCTATCTGAAAACACTTCCTGCATTCAGACTCAGCCTGTAATATGTTAACAGCCAACAGTTGAACAATATTCTGCATGTGCAATTTTGTGCAGTAAACCATTTGCCCAAAGGAAAAAAACCCCAAACAACTCCCCACCTCCCCCAATTAAGACAGCAGAAGAGAACTAACTGATTTGTCTGTTGTCTTTCCTGTCAAGATCGCCCTCGCCTTTGCTTTGGTCAGCGGGAAGGACTTTATGTATGAGTCATACAAATGTTTTGCCAGGGCCCGGAGGTCAGCGGACTCTGGGTTCAGCTGGTCGATATCACTGGAGATCTCCGCCAACAGCTTCTCCTTCTCGGCCTGTGGCATCCGCCCAAACCTGATGGCTATAGAGGAAGAGGAATGACAGGATGAATCATTGGATCACTACTGCTCCAAACATACACTGTGCTCTCCCAGCCCTTGTTCCCACACAGTAGAAACCCCTCCTCCTCCACCGCTCTCGAGTTCTGGTTTCCGTCTACCACTTTGATCATGTTTTTATTTCACAAAAGTAGCACAGACCATCAGCAAAAATTAAACTGTTCACTTTAATTTTTAAAAGTTAATGCATAATCTTGCTGAGAAAGCAAAAGAATTCTCAAGAGTTTAGCAAAGGGAGGAAAGTATGTAGACTGGGACGTAAAATAATTGAGAACCAACTCCTACTCATCCATCAATACCTAATTTCAGGGTCACTTTCTTTGTATCCCTAGCACTTGATCTAAGGTCAGGCACTAGAAGGATCAACACGTTTTATAAATTAAAGTATGGAGCTGTGCAGAATTCAAAGTTGTACAGACACAGGATTTGTTCTCAGGGAGTTTGTACGATCTGTTTGTCCCGGTTAAAAAGAAATATGAATGGTGCTTTATTACATCTTACTAGCCCAGAGAGCATGTTTACATGTAAGAGAGAAGCCATAGTTATTCTTCAGCTCTCCAGAGTTACTACTTAATAATGTTTGTCAGAAAGACAATATCCTTACCATCTGCCTCCCTGTGGGGTGAGGAAGTGTGAAAGATGATGAAAGAAAGAAAAGCAATGAGGAACACACGCGAGGGGTCAGTGGGGACTAGTTTGGAGAAAAAATAATCTATAACTTTTCATCTCAGATATGTGTTTTTTTCCTTCTTACCAATATGTTCAACAAAATATTATTTTGAAACATGTTTCTTTGGGGGCACACTTTGGGCTCTGTGTTTCCCATAATAAGGGTACCTGGCCATCATGTCTGGTACACAGTTCTGCTCTTATACTTACCATGTTGTATCACAGCTGTGTGTTTTTATGGTGGTTGGCTTCCCTAGATTATATGTTCTTTGAGTGCAGAGACTGTCATATTCGTTTATGTCCCTAGCAGTCAGTGGTGCTCAGTCAATGGTTGCTGAGGCCAGGTGCAGTGGCTCAAGCCTGTAATCCCAGTACTTTGGGAGGCTGCAGTGGGCAGATCACCTGAGGTCAGAAGTTGAGACCAGCCTGGCCAACGTGGTGAAACTGTCTCTACTAAAAATACAAAAGTTAGCCTGGTGTGTTGGTATGCACCTGTAATCCCAGCTACTCGGGAGGCTGAGGCAGGAGAATCGCTTGAACCCAGGAGGTGGAGGTTGTAGTGAGCCAAGATTGTGCCACTGCACTCCAGCCTGGATGACAGAGCAAAACTCTGCCTCAAAAAAAAAAAAAAAAAAGGTTGCTGAATCCCAGAACAAAGAGATGGTTCTAATTTTTATTAGCCCTGCTAATTTTTATATTTTTAGTAGAGATAGGGGTTCACTGTGTTGTCCAGGCTAGTTTCAAACTCCTGACCTCAAGTGACCTGCCCACCTCAGTCTCCCAAAGTGCTGGGATTACAGGCATGAACCACCACGCCCAGCCAGACATGGTTCTTTTATATGTTATTATGCTAAGGGTAGCATTTCTACCATGAGACATGACAGCACATGACAATGTTCCCATTTGAGTACTCAGTGAATGTTACCTTGGATTTTCACAAGAAGAAACTGACACATACCCTTGAGTCTCAAATTCATAAATTCATTTTAGTTGACCCTAAATAAACTTTATCACTAATACAACTATTGTTTTTTAGGGGCCTCCTTAGAGACCAGACTTGGGAGTCAGAGAGGAAGAAAATCTTACCTCTCAGTTGGGATTCCTTTAAATTAAATTAGCCTATATTTAGATACTTTTAGTAAATATATCCTTGGTATATGGCCCCTTCATACAGAAATCTTTAAATTGGCAGATTTTGGTCAAAAATTCTGTTTCCCTACTCACTCTTCCCCATTTTCTTTCTGTGTTGTTCCACTGGGGCTGATGGTTGTTCATATTCTTATCTACTGGTAACCCCAACCCCTGTCACTAGGCTTGTCTGGGTCCCTCAGGATATGATCTCATTTCACAGCACTGACCACAGGAATTAATTTTTTCTTTCCTCCCTTGCCATATAATCTCTACAAAGGCAGGAATCTTGTTCATTATTATATCCTTAGCACTTAGTACAATTTCTGGCACATATTATGTCCTTGTCTACTATATTTTGAAATAAAACGAAAAGAAAACTCCAGATAGCATATTCCTTCAAAATCCACCGTGAACCTCCTGACCACTTTGCTCAGTTAGGATTTCTTATGCAGTTGGCCCTCCATACCCGCAGGTTCCACATCTGCAGATTCAACTAACTGTGGATTGAAAATATTTGGAAAAAAGAACCAATAAAAAATAATATGGGCTGGGCACAGTGGCTTACACCTGTAAGCCCAGCACTTTGGGAGGCCAAAATGAAAGGATTGCTTGAGGCCAGGAATTTGAGAGCAGCCTGGGCAACAGAGAGAAACCCTGTCTCCACAAAAATAAAAATAAAAATAATTAGCTGAGCATGGTGGCGTGCACCTGTAATCCCAGCTACTGAGAAGGCTGACATGGGAGGATCTCTTGAGCTCAGGGAGTTTGAGGCTTCAGTGAGTCACGATAGAGCCACTACACTCCAGCCTGGGTGACACAGCAAGACTCTATCTCTAAAATAAATAAATAAAACAATGATAAAAAAAAAAAGACAAATTTTAACAATAAGGTATGACAATTTTTTTGTTTGTTTGTTTTTTGAGACAGGGTCTCATTCTGTTGCCCAGGCTGGAGTACAGTGGCACAATCATGGCTTGCTGTAGCCTCAACCTCCTGGACTCAATCGATCCTCCCATCTCAGCCTCTTGAGCAGCTAGGACTATAGGTGTGTGCCACCATGCCTGGCTATTTTAATTTTTTGTAGAGACAGGGTTTTACCATGTTGCCCAGCTGGTCTTGAACTCCTGGGTTCAAGGGATCTTCCTGCCCCCACCTCCCAAAGAGCTGGAATTACAGGTATGAGCCACGGCACCTAGCCATAAGAACTATTTATACAGCATTCATGCTGTATTAGATACTGTAAGTCATCTAGAGATGATCTAAAGTATACAGGAGGATGTGTGTGGGTTATATGCAAATACTATACCATTTTATATCAGAGACTTGCGCATCTAGAAAGGTTGGTATCCGAGTGGGTCCTGGAGCCAATCCCAGGGAATCAGGAGGGATGGCTGTACTATGTTCATTTCCTATTCACCAGTAGTTCCCAACTGAGGAGTGGGGAGGATAGGGGAGGCAGAGCATATCAGAGTCATTTGGTAACTTCTGACATTATATGTCTTCCGTGGGACATTTCGATGGGCCATCCCTCCACTCAATTAGGAGTACATAAAAAACCTGGGGTTTGGGACAGTTTATAAGAAGCTTCCTTTTTATAAAATTAAAAGCTGTAAAATTAAAATTAAAAATTATTTAGCTGGGCTCCTGTTGTATGCATACGGTAGCTCATATATTAAACTGTTACTATACTACGATGTTGGTTTATATCAGTTATTCTACACGAATACAAATTATGTGAGTAACAGGTTTTCTCATCTTTGCTCCTAGGTGTAACAAAACACACATAGTAGGTTAACAATAAAGGTTTGATGGATTAAACTCCAAAATATCAGGTTTAAGAAAAGACAGAAAATGAGACACTATGTACATTAGGAAGTTTTGGGAAATGATCACGAACAAAGCACTAAGTAAGAATTAAGCCGTATTAAAAGAAGAAGAAATTTTGGTGTAAAACTCAAGAGAAAATCATCAGTTATCCTATAATAAAACAGAGGTGACTAGAATCACCAACTATCTGCTGCTCCTGAATTTTTGTTATTTCACAGACCACACAATACTGTCTCTTACCTCAATGAATAATTACTGAATCACTATTGTGTGCCAGGCATGGTTTGCTCTGATCAATTTTTACAGGTAAGAGGCTATAAACACATGCAAAAGTTTACAAACCTAGAAAAACAATTGTTTCCTAATGGATAATCAAAAAAGTTAAAAATGAACAAACGCCAAAGATAGCCACTTAATAAACTTGCTAGTCCTGCTTTTCTATAACCTAATAAATATAAGCAAAAAACACCCCTAACAACCATTTTAGAGTTAGGATATATTGAAGTAAAATCCCTCTGCTATAATCTCACTAAAATGTATTTTTATAAGTTGAAGTTCCCCCCAAAGGCTAACTCTAATGAATGAATTATCTGTATTTGCTAAATGCTCATGCCACAGATTAGGTTCCATTTAACTACCAGTGCAACCAATTATATAGGTGATTTTAGCATTTTTACCCACCAGAGGTTCATAAAAGGAATGAAAAATAGATCCTATTTGATGAGACTAAATTCGCATAAAACATACAAAAATCTGAAGCTGTACAGAAAATAAGGATTTTTATGTGCATACTTTTTTTTTGTTTCTTCAGCTGAGGCACACATACAGTTTTTAAGGGGGAAAAGCCAGTTTTTTTATTTCGTTGCTTTTGAGTCCCACATAATCGTACCTATCTACCTAATGTGGGATGATGAGAGGAGGCACACAGAGTTTAGCGCAGTGCCGAGCACACGGCAATGCTTCATAAACACAGATTTACTGCTGTGGTCTTGGTAACTATGGTTGCTGTGGGTTCTAGACCAAGTTGGTAGTCATGGCACGCTGACCTCTCCCACAGAGAAAGAGGAGGATCTGAAAACCTAATCTATGCGTCTGTCTGCCTGTCTATCTCTATCTTTCTGACTTTAAATTGTTTGGGAGATAGTGTGTTTTAGTTAAGCAATTCTTGAGCCTCAGGTTCCACCCTTTACATGGAGAATCGGACAACCAAGAGGAGGAAAGTGATGAAGGTTGGGAGGTGTTTCCTGTAAGACTGAAGTGAGAGTTTTAGCAATAGAAGATGAACATTCTGGATTGGGGGTCAGACATATAAAGGCTGAGTGTGCTTATATACAAG